CAAAAATAGAAGCCTAAGGAAAAAAACATACAAGCATTGACGAGTTTGAATCAGTAATTCCCTGATCTCGTTGGAAGAAGGTCTGGATGGGAGGGGGGTACAAATGTCAGTTGTCAGTTAAAATTTTAGCAATTTATCAGTTCTCAGTTAGATATCAGGCCATTTGTCAGTTGTCAGTTGAATGACTGTTAATAATTAACTTGGCAAGTTAGTTATTACTTTCTGACCCTATCATTGGCTAAAAAGACTCATATACAGGCACATATACAGCACACATACAGTGTGAACTCGAAAATAAAGTCGAAAATTGATATAATAAGGACTCCTTTTTCTCAATTCTGGAACGAAATTATTCCAAGATTTTCCAAGTGACTTTCAGTCTTTGTTTGAAGGGCGTTTAAGTAAATGACAACTCTTCTGCTCACAAACTTCTGTTTGTCCGTGCGCAACATTGAAACATTCCCTTTCCACCACTTAGCCGGTCAAAATGTCAAAAAGAAGATCGTCAGAAAGACGATCTACCTTCCAACAGATATTGGTTTAATGTTTTGTTTTACAATACGTCGATTGCGATTGGCTTCGATGAAATGATCGGAAAGGAATGTTTGTTTGTCTTTTTTTTAATTAGGTTATTACATATAATAATTTTCCATGTTAGCAAATAGGTTTTTGTATTTTTTATAAGTGCAACGATGTGTAGTTTCATAGGTTACGCTGTGCGCCCTATGAAACTTTCTTTTCCTGGCATGCTGAAGTTCAATAAACTGCGTCATAATAACAAATATCTTCAGCCAGTAGGCAACGTCACCCTCAGGTGGTTTTCAGGCTGGTTCTGAGTAGAAATTATAATATGTAGAAGCTATAAAAATTGTTACTGAAATCTAAGAAAAGTTAAAAATACAATTAAAAATACAATAGAATCTTAAGATAAAATGTAAAATTCAATAACAAAATTAGAGAACATAGTTTATATAAGCCCATAAATAAATCGAGGCTATTTGCACTTCGTGTAGACATTGGAAGACTGTTCCATTCGTGTAGCGCTTGATAAGTCAGTCTTCGTTGCCCCCACTGGCACCGAGACTTGGGCAAAAGAACGTTGTCTTTGTGTCTAGTGTTATAATGGTGTATTTCCCTTGAGTGTGTAAAATTAAAATTTCAGTTAATCAGCCCATGCATGCATTTAAATACAAAAGAAAGACGGTGTTGCCGTCACCTTTCTGATAAAACTAGCCAATCAAGCTCATCAATTGCCTATGTTGCGGAAGAGTGTTTAGCTTTGTCAAGGATTAATTTCGAAGCTTTGTTTTGCAATAACTGGACTTTAGCCATTAGAGTTTTGTTGTATTTGTCTCCCAACACAATGTCACCATAATCCAAAAGAGCCAAGATAATTGATTTAACGTACATTAAGTTTCTTCTATCTAGGATTTTATTATAGGTTAATACATTGTACACTATAGGTTAATTCATTGTACATTATAGGTTAATACATTGTGCATTACGATTCCTCTATCTAAGTACTAGTATTTATTATAGGTTAATTTTTTAAGTCTTAGTTTAATGTGCACGGCTCTTTTGAAGACTACTTATTAGTGATAAGGATTCCGTGGCTAAATAAAGATTGACTGATTTCCTTGAATAAGCGTCCACGCTCTAATGAGCACCCTCAACCGAATAAGCGCCTAGCCCCTAAGCCATTATGTCAAAACAAACAGGGGCCCTCTCGAATAGGAGCCCCCCTCGTGACTCACACTCTTAAATAGTAAGGTGCAAGGAAAACCTGTTTCTATTGCCACTTTATTTACACCTTTTGAAGCTTCAACACAGCGGAATCAGTACAGATATTTCTTTCTATATCTGCTTGCAGAGCTCCTTTCTGTTTGTCATCTCTTCTGTTAATTTTTTCCTATTACGGCGCCTACTTGATAAGCGCTCCCTCGAGCGAAGTTTCAGATAAGCGCCCGGGCACTTCGGGAAATATGGTATTTTAGTAGGCTCAACTTCTGCCTTCCTCTCGGGGAGTCCGGTTCCCGAACAGTGGTTGTTAATCAAGCCTAGTACTTT